CTTAAAAATGGGGCTGATGGCCAGGCGTGGTGGCTCACACCTGTAATCCCAGCACTTTGGGAGGCCGAGGCAGGTGGATCACCTGAGCTCAGGAGTTTGAGACGCAGCCCGGCCACCATGGTGAAACTCTGTCTCTACTAAAAATACAAACAAATTACCTGGGCTTGGTGGCGGGTACCTGTAATCCCAGCTACTCGGGAAGCTGAGGCAGGAGAATGGCTTGAACCCAGGAGGCGGAGGTTGCAGTGATCCAAGATTGTACCATTGCACTCCAGCCTGGATGACAAGAGTGAGACTCCTCAAAAAAACAAAAAAAAGAAGGAAAGAAAAAAAAAATGGGGCCAACTAGGCAATCATTGAGATGAAGATGAGGAATGCTATGTCGATGAAACAGATGAACAGTTTTGGAGTGGTGCTGTCCATAATAGCACATTTCTAAATAGTCTACAAGTTTTAATTTTACCAACTTTTTTAGTATGAAAACTTGATCTAGGAATAATGGAGAAAGGTTTTTTTCCCCTCTTTTTTTCATTATCCCACTACTGTAAAGAAATGAATAAACTTTTTGAAATATTGAAAAGAAAAGAGCTCTTATTTAAACTTAAGATGAGAAGAAGAACTTTTAATAAACTTGTGGCTGGATGAAGGCAGAGTTTTATAATGCAATTTTTATTCTTACCTTCATGGTACAGGGTCCCTCCTCCTTCCCCCCGTAAAAATAGATGGGATGTTGTGATTTATGATGAGATAATTCTGTAGAGGCATTTTATGGAATACGTATGGAATCCTAGGAGAGATTTTCCTGATGGCTGATAGCCCAGACACAGAGCTCAGAAAACAATTACACCCAGCTAGTTGGTTCTGTTCACTCTACTATTGCATGAGTCCAATGTTTAGATTTTAAAACAAGGAAATTTCAACATTCTGTTTTCCAACTATAAGGGTAACTGCTTTAAAAAAAAATAAAAAAGACAACCAAAAAAACCTGTTTCTTAGAAAAGGTCTTGCTCTGTGGCTAGAGTACAGTGGCACGATCACAGCCTCAAACTCCTGGGCTCAAGCAATCCTCCCTCCTCAGCTAATTAAAATAATTTTTTTGTTATTGAGGCAGGGTTCTCACTGTGTTGCCCAGGCTGGTCTTGAACTCCTGGCCTCAAGTAGTCCTCCTGCCTCCACCTCCAAAAAGTGCTGAGATTACTGGTGTGAACCACCATATCTAGCCTAAAAAATTTATTTCAAATGAAAGAAATACACACTGCTCTTGTAGTGCTCTGCTTGCTAAACAGCAGATTTCATCATAAACACAACCATTTTGTACCCTAAATATTAGGACTTACTGATGTACCAAATGGACCAAGGAGAAGCTTTTCTTCTGTCTTAGGCTCAGAGAATAGTATCAAAACAGCAACTCTGTGGCTCAGAGTAGTTTATAGCATCATTTTAAGCTAATATAATTCTATTTAGTGTAGAAGAGGGCAAGAGCCCTGGGATGCTGATGTGCCGGCAGCCCCCGAGGGACCTTGAGACTTTCCCTCGTATGGCCCTGAAGGGAGACATTAGAACTTACTGGAGGCTGGGTGTACTGTGGCTCACGCCTGTAATCCCAGCACTTTGGGAGGCCGAGGCGGGTGGATAACCTGAGGTCAGGAGTTCAAGACCAGCCTGAGCAACATGGTGAAACCTCATCTCTACTAAGAATACAAAAGTTAGCCAGGCATGGTGGCAGGCACCTGTAATCCCAGCTACTTGGGAGGCTGGAGCAGGAGAATTGCTTGAACCCAAGAGGTGGAGGTTGCAGTGAGCCGAGATCACACCATTTCACTCCAGCCTGGGCAGCAAGAGCAAAACTCCATCTCAAAAAGAAAAAAAAATGTAGTGGAAAGAACATGGACTTTGGAGTCAAGATTAACCTAACTCAAGGAAAAGGGAGTTGTTTGTGTAAAAAAAATTCTTGGCCTGACACGGTGGCTCATGCCTGTAATCTGAGCACTTTGGGAGGCTGAGGCAGGTGGATCACCTGCGGTAGGGAGTTCAAGACCAGCCTGACCAACATGGAGAAACCCTGTCTCACTAAAAATACAAAATTAGCCGGGCGTGTTGGCTCATGCCTGTAATCCCAGCTACTCAGGAGGCTGAGGCAGGAGAATCGCTTGAACCCAGGAGGTGGAGGTTGCGGTGAGCTGAGATCATACTCCAGCCTGGGCACCAAGAGCGAAACTCTGTCTCAAAAAAAAAAAAAAAAAATTCTTAATTGCATTGCACTTACAAGCTGTGTGACTTTGAGGAAATAAGATCTCTGATGAATTAATAAGATTCCCAATTTATTTGTGGGTAAATTGGGAGGAAAGCTGTTGGGAGGAATGACTGAGATGCTACCTTGGGGCAGTTCCTCTTTGATGGTAGCTGCCGATAAATGCTGGTCCACTTCCTGCATTCCTCCCTCCACTTCCTTGTTGCCATGTCACCTGCACACAAAACAGCTTTCAGACTCCATCTTGGCCCAATTTAATTAGTTCTCAATATAATATATTTAATTTTTTGCTTTTTTTTAAAAAAAAGTAAAGGTTCATGCAGCACTGTATAAATTTCCTTGTTAATTTGGTTTCAGTGGTCCAAATTAAGTTATTACTAATAGCTTATTAGTATCAGTTTACTAATATTTTAATTATGTTTTTTTATCATGTCTTACATTGCATTCTTTTAAAAACTAGTGATATGCTGTCATTTGACAGTAAGATTCAAATAATTTAAAGTAGGAGTGCAACTCTTGAGAACACTGTCACAAAAATTTTACCCAATGATATATATTAGTCCATTCTCACACTGCTATAAAGAAACACCTGAGACTGGGTAATTTATAAAGAAAAGAAGTGTAACTATCTCACATTTCCATGGGTTGTACAGGTAGTGTGATGCTGGCATCTGCTTGGCTTCTGGGAAGGCCTCCGGAAACTCCCAGTTATGGTAGAAGGCGAAGGGGAAGCACGTATATCTTACATGGCCAGAGCAGGAGCAAGAGAGAGGGAGGGCATATTAGTCTGTTTTCACACTGTTGATAAAGACATACACGAGACTGGGAAGAAAAAGAGGTTTAATTGGACTTACAGTTCCACATGGCTGGGGAGGCCTCAAAATCATGGCGGGAGGTGAAAAACACTTCTT